CTTATTTTCAAAGGAATACCTCATTTTCTTTGACAGATGATGAGGATACTCCTCTACTAGAAGTTGCACAGTTTTAAAACCATAATTCCTTCAAATTCCTTAGAGTTGTGACTCCAAAATCAAGCACAGAATGCAAAAAGGGTTTACCTGTTGTATTGGGATAGTACTTAGCCTTATCTACTTGCAATATGATGGATTTTAGGAAAGAAAAAAAAAATCAAGAAACAGTTTTTATAGAAAACATTGTGATCAGTGGTATTCCATCAGTGTTCTAAATAAAAGGCTTTGCATTTTGTAGTTGTATTGCATATGCTTATATTTTAACTGCATGAGATAATCTGATGCTTTCATGCACTATGACATAACTGAACACTACTTTAGTTAGAATATGTCATTACAAATTCTCACATTCTTTCCAGCCAAGATGTTATTACCATTTAGATGTTGATTCATGAAGGAATTGCTCTTGCCCAGTGGATATATAGGCTGAAAATAAGTGGCAGTTCCTTACAGTTCCTTATCCATTCCCATTTTTTATATAGCAACTCTATTTTAGACAGTTTTAGGTTTGAGGACGCATGGCCAAGTACAAAGACACTGATACCATTGGTACATGTAAAATAAAAGGTTATAACAGGTATGAAGTATGAGACTCCTAGTGGAAACAGATTCTTCTCTATATTGACCACTGGTAATCAGAACTAGTCATTACCATTTATTTCCATATTCCTAACTCTCTGCTGGAAGGGAACAAGGAGGAAACCTTGGCTGAGGTACTCAGCAAGTTCTTTGATTCAACATTCACTGGCAGTCATGTTTCCTACATCTTTAAAGTCCCTGAACCTCTAGGCAAGGTATGGGGAGAAAAATTTATCTGACTTCAAGTGAAGAGCAAGTGCATGATCACCTGATGAAACTGAATATGTCTATGGGCCCAATGGCATGCATCCCAGGGTCTTGCTGGAACTGGCTGATGTAGTTGCCAAGCCATTCTCCATCATATTACAAAGCTATGGTTGTCAGGTGACTGGAAAAAGGGAAACGTCACTCTCAGTTTTAAGATGTGTAGGCAGGGAACTACAGGCGAGTGAGCCTTACCTCTATTCTTGGGAAGATCATGGAATGGATCCTTCTGGAAGCTATGTTAAGGCAGATGCAAGACAAGGAGGTGATCCAGAATAGCCAGCATGGTTTCACCAAGGACAGATCATCCATCACCCAAGTCTGTTGGTCTTCTATGATGGACTGATGGTATTGGTAGACAAAGGAAAGGCAACTGATGTCATCTGTCTTGACTATTGCAAGGTCTTTGACATGGTCCACACTACATGCTTAGTGTTGGAGAGGGATGTTGGAGAGAGATGGATTTGAAGAATTTAGTATTCAGTGGGTAAGGAATTCATTGGATAGCTGCAGCAAGAGAGTTGTGGTCAATGGCTTTTTGTCCAGGTGAAGGGCATCCTTCAGGGATCCATCTTAGGACTGGTGGTCTTTAACATTTTTATGTGCAATCTAGATAATGGGATTGAGTGCATCCTCAGCAAGTTTGCAAATGACATCAAGCCAAGTGATGTAGTTGGTAAGATGGAAGGAAGGGATGCCATCCAGAAGGAACTGGACAAGCTTGAAATGTGATCCCCAGTGAATCTAATGAGACTCATCAAGGCCAAGTTGCATGTGTTGCACTTGGGTTGAAGCAATCTCTACAGAATGAGAGAACTCATTGAGAGCAGCCGGTGGAGAGAGTTTGGGGGTTCTAGTGGACAAAAAGCTCAAAGTGGGACAGTAGTGTGCACTTGCAGCCTGGAAGGCCGACAGTATCCTGGGCTGCAACAAAAAGGGGATGACCAACAGGGGCAGGGAAGTGATTGTTCCTCTCTACTCTGCTGTGGGGCACATCTGGAGTACTGCATCCAGGTCTGAGGCCCCCAATATAGGAAAGACATGGAACTTTTGGAAGAAGTCCAAAGGAGGGCCAAGAAAATGATCAGAGGGCTGGAGCACCTCCCCTGTGAAGACAGGTTGAAGGAGCTGGGTTTGTTCAGCTTGGAGAAGAGATGGCTCTGAGGAGACTTCATTGCCACTTTCCTGTACTTATGGGGAGCTTATAAACAGGAAGGAGACTAACTTTTTACATGATTTGATAGTAACAGAACAAGGAAGAATGGTTTTAAACTAGCAGGAGACTTAGGGTAGATGTTTGGAGGAAATTCTTTACTCAGAGGGTGGTGAGGCACTGGCACAGACTGTCCGGAGAAGTGGATGGGTTGGATGTGGCTCTGGGCAGTCTAGTCTAGTAGGTGGCAACCAGCTTGCAGCAGGGAAGTAAATAGTCTTTAAGGCCTCTTACAACCCAAACAAAGAATTAGAATTCTATGATTTTTATGATTTTCATTAGAATTGACACAGATGATGTGATCTTACTCTAGAGTAAATGTGAACAGGTGAACACCACACTGATTCACTCTACTGTTCTCCTGTAAATTCAATAAATATCTTATTTATTCCATAAGTAAACTTTTCTAGTTAAACCAAAATGTTTTCAAAAGGGCTCTAATACTTCACAAATAAAAATCTTTGCTCTATATAGTAAGAGAGCTTTTCAAGAACACTTGACTCGGCTTATATTCTATACTTAAAATTAATAAACACTATTGAAATACATTTGAATAATAGTTCAGAATGTTAGTTTCCACTTAAGGAAGGTTTATTATATTATCAGATATAAATTCATGGTTATGGTAACTGGCAACAAGAATGTGAAGAATGAAACAGTTCCTACAAACTTCCCATAAAGTAAAAAATAATGCTACTTCATGGGGAAATGATGCTGCATAGCGTTCCCAGATAAGTTAATCTGTCTGCCTTGTGCGTTTATTCGATAAGGGTGTTTTTGTTTTTTTTTTTTTTACTTTAGTAAACTTTTTTTTACTTTCAGTCTTAAACTGATGGTTCTTCTTCAAAGTATGTATGTTGAAATTCAAATTATTACCAATTCATATTATTTTTTGGCACATATTTCTGGAACATTTACTTGCATTTGTATAGTTTTTACTTACAGAGTTTTTACTTACTGAATTGATGGCACTCCATCCTACATATATATAAACTTACATGGATCCCTCTGGAATTCACCTTATTGATTTCTGTTTACCCAGAAGAGCTTTGTGATTATTTTTTTCTGGAAAAAGAGAGAGAGCCTCCTTACTGATCTGGACATATGTAATTCTTTCTTCTAGGTTCCCAGTGATCAAAACTGATAGATTTCTGTTTCCAGGACATATTTCATGTGATGTAATAGCTATAATCACTCTTAGGAAGTACATTTTGAAAGGAGATTTTGTTCTATGCAACTGAAGTTTACCCACTTAACATATGTTTGTTCGACAGCAGCTTTTTTTGAATAATCATATCTATCATCATGTCACCTGAAACTCTTTTGGTTTGTTTTAAGGAGCTGCAAAAGCCAGAATCTATTGGTCGAACCTTCATATCTCCAGCTATTGCGGGACAAGATTTTGCCAGATCAGAAGGTTTGCTGACTTTTGAACCTGGACAAAGAAATAAGTTTCTGGATGTGACACTTACTCCAAAGACAGCATCATTAAACCCATTTCCTAAACGCTTCCAGGTTGTGCTTTCTAATCCCACAGGAGGTGCCAGAGTAGATGATGTCTATGGTGTTGCTAATGTCACCATTGTCTCAGATTTGGGCTCCTTGCCATTCTGGATGCTGATTGATCAACTGCATCAGCCTCTTGATGACACAATTTTACAAAGAGTCCTTCAGAATCTGAATGTCAAGGTGGCTACAGAAACTACTGAAGAACAGCTTACTGCTGTGATGCACGTAATAGATAAGGTAAATGTTTCCTGGTCTTTCTTGAAAAACCAATGACTTCAATAAGTATGATATATAATAAGATCAAGGTTATAATTCACAACAGAGACCCAGAAGCATAGAAAGTAAAAATAGAAATAACAGGTACCACAGGTACCACAGAAATTTGTTGCTAATTAGGATGATGACAGGAAAACATAGAACAATTAGATTGAGAAGAGCAACCAGTATTAATTTTGCATATTTACACATAGCTCAAGATTACCTGCTGTACAGAATTTTACCTTCAGTGCTATACTTTTAGAGAACTTGTTTCTTGAAGGCGTCTTTGTTGGTTCTAGCCCTGGCACAAGACAGTAAGTTTTTCGCATCTTCTGCTGTCGACACACAGACAGATCATACCATGGCCAACTGGAGTCCACTGTACTCTTAACTAGGCACACAGTTTGCCTTTACTCCTGCAGTAGCTTTGGAAACCAAGTTGGTGCTATAGTTGGGCTCTTTGGCATTGCACTAAATTCTGTGAGAACTCTGGGTCTAGTAGTCTAGTTTTGTGGCATCCTGGCTCTTCTGCACATCTGGAATAATGCACACAAACTGAAAAACAAGCATCTAGACATTACTGGACATTATAACACTATTCATGTCAAAAATTCTCAAAAGGATAATAGTTTTTAATTTATGAAAGAATAAATACCATGTGGGTTCTTTATCAACTCCATTTTAGTAAGCATATTTTTATGTAATTTTGTCAGCAGGGTGCCCTTCACATCTTCATAGCAGCAATTAGAAGTTGAAAAAAGTGTCCTGAACTTTCCGAAAGAATACTGGTAGAAAAACTAAAATGTCATAAATGATAAGAGTTCAGTGAGAGGAAGTGTTTTTAGCAGACTTCTGTGGATAGAATGCTGCTCAATGGTTGTTTTTTTTTTTCTTCACAATAGGTTACAGATATAGGTGAAAAACATTTACTCACTGGTAAAAGTAGAAGTCTTTTCTATGAGATACTCTGTGCTCTCGCTAGTCCAAAACGCAAGGACACACGAGGATATAGTCTGCTTGCTGAGGTGACTGAGAAGTTTGCTTTTTCTTTGCTGACTGAGATAATGTGTGGATCACCAGGGGAGAGGTTAGTGGACATGAATTCATAGTTTTTATTTGAAATATATATTAATACAATATATATTTCAATATTATTATTGTCAATAATAATATATTGACAAAATACTGAGACAAAATAATAAGAACATTTAAGTGAAATTTTTAGGTGTGGGTCTTGCCTATCATGTAACATGATGCATTAATGACAATGTGTTGTGCTCTTCAACAGTTGTACAAAATGCAATATAGGCACTATGATATGGTGTCATAAATAACCTGTACACTGATACAGGATAGATGTGAGGATAAGTTAGAAAGTCTTAGACCTGTTCATTCAGCTTTAGCTCAAAAACTCTCAGGAAAAAGGTCCATTAATATTTTTAGGAAAATAATTTATAACTACATGATGGAGAACTACTTCTAAGGCTTAGGTGAGTGAGAGTAAGGAAACCACAAGTTTTACCGGCACCTTAATTCTGGGATTCTGTGATTTTTGTCTTTGGTTTCGTTCACTTGAACATTATTTTAAATTATGTTAAATTGCTACCTTGATCTACAAGTGCATAGTACCTTGTGGTCAGACTAATGTGTAGGGGCATTAGTTGGCTTTGGAAGTAGATAATTATCATTTATGAAGCAGGTGCTTTTAAACAGAACTTGCAAGTTACAATTCTTTGTTATGAGTCTCTTTGCATTATCTTCTAGAAGATAAAGCAAGATCATCAGTTTTGATGTCTCTTCATTTTGTAGACTCAGTTTCACATCAAGTTATAGAAAGAATAACTTAGTTTACCAGGGACTAATTTTGTTTGCACATCATGATAAACAAAATCCTGAGGGGAAACAGGATTTGGAATATGTAATTACTATATGCATATATACTTTATGCATATAATACTTCAGCCTTTCATTATTTTTTTTTTCACAGCAACTGAAACTGTCTATCAAATGTCTTAAAACCTTAAATTATGGAGGAATAATATATTAATTACAGATACACTTTAGAATCACTCTGTGAAAAGCAGCTAAAGATCAGTTCCACTTATCTTTTGCTTTTCTATTCCAACAGAGGCAAAAATATCCTTGATAGCTGTCCGTACATTGCAATAATGGCTCACAACTGGTATCCTCAGCAAATCAATGGACACAGATTTGATGGAAGAGATGGGGATTCAATTCAAGTGCCTGAGCATTTATTAAAGGTCTCTGTTGTATTATCTCCTCCCCAAGAAGAGAATTGTGAATCTATACAGTTCACAGAATACAGCAGTCAACAGTGGTTTCTCACTGGAGATAAAGAACTTGCCCTAAAGAACAAGGTTTGAAAATAATACAATTTATTTTACAATAAATCAACTCATTTAAGGTACTGCTCAAAACAAACAAGGTTCACTTAAAATAGTGTGGATGTGCGTGTGTGTTTCTGAATAAAATGAGCACTGACTGAGGAATTTCAATAAAATTTGTATTTAATTTCAGGTTTTTTCTATGAGTTTAAAGAGTCAGAGCTCACACCCTTTGAAAGACAGCAATGAAGTAATTTATCGGATTTATGCTACAGGAAGTCGGATTGTTCCACAGAAGTCTCTATGTCTCCTTTGGAATCAGGCTTCAGAAAGGTTATTTTATTCATCTGTTTAATGTTCCAGTGAACCTGTGTATTTGTCTAAAATGTAATAACTCTGATTAGGTCACCTGTAAGTATAAAATTATTTCTGGGTTTTTTGTTGTTGTTGTTGTTTTGTTTTTTAACTTTTTTCTGGACATTGTACTACTGTACAAAAAATTTCCTACAATAAACTAGGTAATTATTCTAGCTGAGGCATTTCTAAAACTTCTACTTTTAACTTCTTTCACCAAAATACCATTAGTTTATATAAAAATGAGGCAGAGCTGACAGGCCATAAATTCCAGAATTGCATTACTTTGTCATTCTTAACATTTTTTTACCTCTTTACAGTTGTTATCAGACAGCACTTAAAATCCATTCTTACAGAAGTAAACTGTTAAACATGCTTCTCCAGGGTTGCTTCAAGTCACTGACTCAGTATATTACTAATTTTACTGGCATATAGTCTTTTCTCTGTGTCTATAAGAGAAATAACTGTACAAGTGAATAAAATAAAACTTTTTAAGGGCAGATCAAGGATTTATTTAGACCAGTAAGCTGTATTCCATAGTGGCTCAAAGAAGATGCCTGTGGAAGAGTAAGATCAGAATGATCACGTCTTAGCTCCCCTAATACCACTCTGTGTTACCAGCTATGATGCATATAAGGCCATGGGTTTTTTTTTTACAGAAAAGATACCAGCTGCTTGTTCTGAATATCAGTGCTACTAACTTAATTTGATGTCTCATGTTTTTCAGAAGATGTGATGGACCTCTCATCATTTTCTGTTCTTACTGCTGTTCATACCATTGTAAACAATTGAACAGAGTTTTGCTTATGGTTCTCCATTGCTCCATTGTTTAGTCTGTGTCTTTCCCATTCACACAAAATAAATTGGTGAATTCAAAGAGAATTTTGTTCTGTACTCTGTGAGATATAGTTGTTTAGACTCTGATGTCATTAAAATGACTTGATCATAATATAAACTATTTCTTTGCAGAAGGGAGGGGCAGCAGAATGTGCCTATAATCTCTCAATTTATCTAGTTGCTATCATAGACAAGATACACTTTCCATTAGAAATTACTTGATATGTTACCTGTGTTATCCTCTTCCCAAGTCAGTTCAGCAATACTGAAGGACAAACAGAATATGATGCTAATTTCAAAACAACAAATATCAGTATAAAATGAATTGTTCTTCATAGTGGAGTAAGGTATAGTGCAAGTGACAAACAATTTGAACAATCAGCCCCATATTTGTTGCAGAACTTTTAAAAATATGACTACAGAAATTTTTAATGGAAAAAAGACATTCATTATCATCTATTCAGAATTTCTTTTTAATAATAAAAGTGAAAACAAAGCTATAAAAATATTTTAATTTCATGTAAATGTTTTATTATGAAAGAGATCACAATGAAGTATTTACATACATGTGATAGTTTAGAAAACTTTGTTTTTCAGAGAGAGAGTAAAAATTTTCAAGGTTGCTTATCATGTAAATTTCACAAATTCAGTTACAACTTTGTAAATCTTTATTCTGCAGTTGGTTATCTGATAGTGGGTTCTGCAGAGTGATTGATGACACATCAAACTATGTGGAGTGTGCTTGTTCTCATATGTCCATTTATGCGGTATATGCCCAAACAGACGACTTGTCTTCATACAATGAGGCCTTTTTCTCTTCTGGATTCATCTGCATTTCAGGTCAGTAGATACAATTTTCTTATTATCAGCCTGTAATGACCAGAAAGATTAGTTGATTTTTAACAATTTTTAGTAACTCATGACAGTCTTTTTAACTGGAGGAGTATTAACTAACTTCATTCTATTTAAGTTGCTATCTGGGCTGGTATATGTACATTTACAAATTTTCACAAGGAAGAAAAATGCAGAACAGGAGAGAAGTATGTTGTTTTCCTTATGTTGTTTTCTGTGTTATTTATTGAACCATGCAAAAGTGGAAGATGACAGTTATTTAGGGCAAAAAACTAAACTCCTAAATACTTCTCTGTCTGCAGCAGCAGTAAAGTCATCCTTTTTTTGTCAAGTCTTTCAATCACTATTGTACTTCATCTGAAAGTTCTTTGACAATTTAAGTTTACACTCAGAAGTGATAAATTGAGGGAGATAGACTCCCTATCATGTATAGAGTTTGCATTCTGCTTCCCAACTGCAGTCTGACATCTCGGGAGAAGCAAAAGAGTTTAAACTAACCAGGATCATGATTATTTTTACTGACAGCTATAGTAGCATTTAAAGAAGGCTCAAGGCCTCAGAGAAGAAAGAGATCTAAATTTTAAAGATTATTGACATTGCACCTTTCACACTGCAGTCTATTTGTGCTGCAGTCAGTCCTGAATAAAGTACTTCCTTCTTCACTTGTTGATGGGCATGTGCAAGCAGAACATATGAGTAATGAGATCACCAGAAAAAAACATGCTAAAGAGATTCTTGCTGTACCCCTCAGGCCCTTAAATGGTGTTCTGGGTCTGCTCCCTGAGAGGTTTATGAGTTCTTTGCTTTATATTTAATTATTATGGCAATCATCCATGTGCAGAAATAAAAAAATACTATGCAAAAATGATTGGTTTACATTATGTAATTATTTTAGCTCCCAGTCCTCTGAAAAATAGATGCTAAAAGTAAATTCATGTGTGATGAAAGTGTGAGACAAAATTAACGTTCTCTTAAGTTTTTGTTCTTTTATTTTTTTTATTATGATCTGCACCTTCAAGAGAGCCAACATTGTCTTTCTGTAGCATAGTTTATTAGTCAAAGCCTTACATTTCCATTTTTCTTGTTCCTGTGTAGGTTTCACTTTGGCTATTATCTCTCACCTTTTCTGCACCAGATGTGCAATGTTTGCAGCAAAACTTCTCACTCATATGATGGTTGCTTGTTTGGGTACTCAGGTAAGAAAAAAGTCTGAGGTCTGTAAGTATAAACTAAGTAAATCTTTACTTTCCTTTTTGTCAGTTCCATGGCCATGTGTGAGTAAATCTTTCTGCTCCTCTCCCCTCCTCTTCCCTCTCCTATCTGACAGTTTGACAGCAGCTTTTTGAAAAAGAAAACTATTTTAAGACAGAGGTAATAAAGAAGGTTGTTCTTGACAGGAGTGGACTGGAGTAATGTTAGCTATTCTGAACAGCTGAAAGAAAATTCATTTACAGTTGTCTGTCTTGTGATATGTACAGCTATGTCCTCTTAAAAGTATTTAGAAGATTACTTATTTACTATGCAGTTAACTTTTTATGTTTTCACTAATACTTCTGATGTCATGTTATTTAAGACATTTTCAATTGAGAACTTTTAATATGAAAATCAATACCTAATTAATGCTAACATAAATAAAAGGAAAAGTGTACCACTTTGCATCTTTGTCCTGTTATATTTAGGTAGGTAAGCACTGCTAGTACATCTCAAGCCAGTCTACAGAAAGAAGGTAACTTTATAAAGTTGTTTTTTTTTTTTTTTTTTTTTTTTTTTTTTTTGCCAGAAAAAAATAGAAGCAGCTTTTCAAGTTAGTTACATTCCATATGTATATGCCATATATATATGTATGTAATTGAATTCCCTCAAACATTTGTGCTTGTATGATCTTTTTTTCAGTTACTACCAGTGCACTAATTAATATTATCTGTAGATGGCAGTCAAACCTTTTCAGCACATTACTCAAAAACTCGCTCTTTCACGACAATGCCTGCTCTGTGATTACTCTCTCAGTGAAGGAGAACAGCAATTCACAAAATCCAACCTCCATTTCAGTCTTCTCCGTGGACCTAGAGCTTTCAGTGCTAACTGAGCATTTGTAAAGCTTCCAACAATAGACATTTGCATGTTTAGTACACCCAGTTTTGAGGGATCTCACTAAAAAGACGTAGAAGGCTTTCTAAAGCCTTTGTGAAACTTTTTCTTTCTCCATTATGGTATTTACTCAGAGAATCCTGACATTACCAAAATACGTTTCGTCTCAAATCCTTAGTTATTTGTTAGTTTGTTTAGCCATCTTATTTGTCATCATGCAACAATTCTGAAAAATCTCAAGGAAGAAAAATGAGTGGGCTAAGATTTTCAGTTTTGGAGTAAATTTAGGTGAAGATTTCTGTACTTGAAAAAGTATAACATGAACACAATTCACAGCATCAATTCACTTTTACTCATCAGTAAAGTTCTCATTTTTGACAAACTGTAAACCAAGATTAGAATCATAATAGGGATGAACTGCTTTGCTTTTGTCTTGGAATAAGCACTTTATAGATTGTTTGTGCGTGCTTACTCAGCTTGATGCATCACATACTCAGCAAATTTTAATGTGTATATCTAGGCCATTTATACAGTGCATGCTCTGTGTCTGTGGAAGACACTGAGTATAATGAGTGGCACATATGTACAGTAAGTTTTGATTTTTGTGTGCGAGCTGCTCTACATATATGTGGTGTAGCCATTTCTTTGGAATATTTGAGCATGAACAATCTGATGACAGTAGTAGTTGTGTACAAATGGCTTGTTATTCTGGCCAGTAATGCAGACTAAATAGAAAGTCTAAATAGAAAAAAAGTCATATGGGGAAACTTGTAATCCTTTTTATTTTTGCCAAACAATAGGCATATATTTGCTAATTTTGCCAGTCTTCAAGCTAGTGTAACATCATCATTTATCATGTCTATAGCAATTATCAAGCTGACAAGTCAGATTCTTTCTTGCATTGTATTCAACAGAAATGCGAGATGAAGAAGACTTACTGTGTTTAGCTGCCTGAAAGCTGTTTTATGCAACCTGAGCCAATGTGCAAACAAGCATGTCAGATATGTGTTATTAAGATCAAATTGTGCAAACAATCCTCATTTAAGAAATTGCTAAACATTTATTTGAAAATGATAAACTGTAGTCTTGAGAACTAATACTTGGCAGAATTGTTTTATTGCTTAGATTTAGTCAGTTGTAGATAAAATTAGAAAATGCAGTTCTGCTAGAAATAGGATACACTGGAAGGAAGTGATTAAATATCCAAGAGGTTTTACAGGAATAAGATCATGGAAGCAAAGGGTCACATGGAAGTAATGTGTTTGAAGGCTAAAACTCATGAAAAAAAGTTTGGACTTGAGTAGGAAAAGGACAGCTAACAGGATGGTTTATAAAAACAGTCAAAGGCAGAAAGGTAGACACTCCTTCAGAACTCAGGATTCAAACTTCAAGTACCAAATTCTGCCATATAGAGCCCATGTCTGTCATTTGATGAAAATGGAGCTTTTTTGTTAACTGAAATACTGTTCATCTTAACCATTCCCTACCAACATAGTGGAAATCTCGATTTCCCTATAATCAAAACCCAAAAGAAATTGTCATGTGTATGAAGATAGGGAGAGTTTGAAAAAAATATTCCAAGATGCAGTGGGTAGAGAGATACTATATACTACCCACCACAGAAGCAACTTGTGCCAGTCAGTGGTCAAGTAGTCAAGTACTGCCTCTCTCTTGACCGTAAAGAGAAGTCTTTGCAGCAATTGAGATCTTCTTTAAGATAAGTCTGTGCTTTTTAGAGTCAGCCCATTGAAAATACTACTTAAAGTACTGTTTCTAAACAAGCCTGGTCCAGAGCTTCACTAAACTTTATGTCCATATGAAATTTATATGGACACAGCAAGTATCACTACTGTACAATTAGACCTCACTGCCTTGGATGAGCTAATCTGCTTTATAAAACCTAGTTGGCCTTGAGGTCTGAGATTTCTGATCTGATTTCCTTGTATCCTGACAAGAGTAAACAATGCTGAACATAGTATTGTTAGCACTTCAGGAAGATGAACAGCCCACAAAGTTAGTAAGAGGTCAGAGTAAACAGGACTAGACCCAGTGGTCCAGAGTTGCTGTCCACTCTAGAAATTCAGCTTCATGATAAGGCTGCGATAACACTGAAGAATAAATTTATATTCTTTGTTGCTTCTGCAATGAGAGCTAACACCTAAAACTTTCCTTCCAATAATTGGTTTCATTCTGAATTGATTATTTTTTAGCTGATTTCAGTCATTCCCACCAAGTCAGCACAATTTTAAATTTGTTCAGCTTCTTTCAAAAGCAGTTTCATCTTAGCAATAAGTAGAGATATTTGGTTATTAGCTTGTGTAAGTACAATTTCATAGTAGATTAATCTAAATTGAATACTTTTATAATACAGCAATGTCATTTTATGATCAGGAAGGCTCTGAAGACCTATCTCTATTACATGATGTTACTATTTGTGAGTCCTCAGTACCCAAATAGAATCAGATTGTCAAAGCTAATCAGAAATCTGTACTAGAAGAAATGATCATTTATCTCAAGATGGCAGTGACTGAAGCTGTTACATATATATATATAAATTTATATATATAAACAAAAAATATAAATATATATATAAATATACATATAAATATATATGTGTACACATTTTAGATTTAAATACACGGCGTCTTTAGATGACAGATAAGGTGTACTGCATCTTTTAGAACCTAGGGTCTAGAACTGGGTTTAGAAATAGGGTCAAGAAATTTTTATACAGGCACTGGAACACAGAGGATAGGCATAATAAAAAATATAACCCTGAGGAAGGACTGTTAAGAAAAACAGCAAGTCGTTCTTAGACGCCTGAACAGTACAGGAACTGATTCCTACGGAAACATCATTACTGCATATTTCCTTTCTTCCAGTAGAGGGAGCAATTTCGCCTTTAGAGTTCCTTGTTACGGAGAGTGCAAAGTGGGAGGAGAACATTGTTGTGAGTTTGCTGTGACACTGAGACGGTTGGTATTAGCGTGAAGCCATGTGCTGATATTTAGCGCCAAAGACCAGGCGAAAGTTAGGGTCAGTGCAGTGATATAACAAAAGATTTAAGATACCACCTTAACACTCTAAAGAGTGTTGAAATTTAAAAGCACCTGAATTAGCTTTATCTCATCTTGAAAGGAAGAATGGAAGGAAAAAGTGCTCATGGAATCATGGACAAGTCAGGGAACCTGTAAAAATTAAAATCTGAGATAATATATAATTTAACTTTTATGTCTTTTTTTTTCATCAACTAACGCATGATTTTGGTCTCTCACTGATAACTGATTGTTATGGTAGTGCTTATCTGTTTGTGCTTCTGTTACTTTTAGAGATAATGTTACTTTACTGTCCTTGTTCACTTCTCTGACGTTAGAACTACAGTAACAAAATAGTGTTAATGCACAGGCTGTTAGTATCTGCTTAGAAGTTATCTCCTAAGGTTTGCCAAAACTCAGATATATGAGCAATACTATAACATATGTTAGAATTCTGCTACATTATCTCACACCTCCTGTCCTCATTACAAACAGTCAAATGTTCTACTTATCACTTTAAAGTGTAAGGGTGTGAGATTTCTATCTGCTAATGCCTTCCAGCTCTTTCTTTTTCTTTACACCCCTACTTTTTACCAACATCACAAACTATTGGGGATCACACGCAGAGTGAAATAGACAGCAGCACTTCCAAGTTACCCATTCATCCCTTTTCTCTGTGTTTTAGCAGGAGAAAAATTATTCTGCTCCTTCTCTCATCCATGCTTTTCACATAATTTTTTAACTCTTCTTCAAATTTTCTGTGTCCTTTCTTATCTCCCTTTGTTCATTCCACTTGTGTGCCATTCTTATATAACAAAAATGTAAATAGCTATTATTCCCCCTAACTAGCAAATCTCTCCTTGCTCATTTTCCTGCTAACAAGCTTTCTTCAGACCTGTCTTTTTGGAGACAAGATCCTCTGCAATTGCTGTTACAAATAAGTTGTGACCTTAGGAACACCCGCACAACGTTAATCTGGCCTGCAGAATTTAACTGAGGAAGGAAGAAATCCATCAGCTTTCTTGAGCAACAGTATCTCAGTAATGTTGCTTTGCAGCAAATTACAGTCATAT